TCCCGGATAGGATATGACCAGCTTTACGACGTGTTGTACATGTTCGTGTGGGTTAATTGGATAAGGTTTATACTACCGTTAGGTCATGCTACGATAGATAGGGGAATCAAGGGCCTGATGGGAAGGTATAGGTACCTAGTTAGCTTGATAGGTCATATCCATGTTGGAGGGCGGGTAGGCGTACTGCTGTAAGTCCTACTCGTTCTTCCGGTGTGGATTAGAGGATGAGAGTGAACCCTAAATTGAAGTGTCGCTAACGCTTGCCTTTTCTTGCATGGAGGGATTTTGCGGGCCGGTGTAGAATCTTTTTTGAATGTTTTGTTTTTTGGAAAATCCCTCCATGTTTATATATTTTTGTTATGACATGACGGACTCTTTCTGTTGACATTTTGGTATTTTACTTGATTCCAATTTGAGATTTTATCATTGTATATTGTTATTATTTCTATATTTTGTACTTACATTGAAGTTTTTATGTTTGCTTCTGAACTGTACATATACTGTTTAAATTTGATATAATATGGCTACAGCCATATTTTTGCATTTGATATCGTTGCGGTATCTAGCATCACTTATTCTCCGGAACCTGGATACTCATTCAGAGTACTTTTGAATTGGAAGACGTAAAATTCGTTAGGTAACGTTTGTTTTTCCATTTATTCTCTATAAATAGACCACTTTCTCCTAGAATTATTGTGTTCTGATATTGGACTAGGAGAGGGGTGCGTATAACATACGTCTATTGGATCGAATTGAACTGCTACGGTAGAAAATCTAATTACACCCACTCCGCACGAAAAAGCCACATATCAAAAGTATACACCCTTTCTAGGGGAGGGCTAATGTAGTGGTATACTTTTATGAAGATAACACAATTGCCGAGATATAAACATTTATTATTGTAATTAATTCTGACAATAATTGTTATACTGTACTCCTTTAGTATATATGTACTAAAGACCATCTCTCTCGCATGCCAAGCGTGTTATTCCCATTCCGCTCCTCTCCTCGGTTGTTGTTAGCCACTCCTATACTCTAGTCTCGATATTATTTCGATATCAAGAGGCTATCGATAAATATACTTCTTTAACCAGAATTGTATTTTCTTTGACTTCTGGATTATCGGGATTTACCTTGGTAATTCCGCGATGAAATATATTTATTCAGACTTAGTGTGAGATTCTCACCTTCTAAGTGAGTTTTGTAGTTCTTTGAATAGCATCCGTTCAGTTCCCTGTGTATGAGGCGTATTTTCTTCATGGCTAGATTATACCGTTCCTGGAGCTAGACTTTTCCGTCCAGTTTGCGCCCAATGCATCTCACTTTTTTCACGCACCGCCAGATTTTATTTTTTCATTTCCTCAGTAACATGAATAGTTCTGTGAATCTTGGACCTTAACGGAACATTCCATGTACTTATGGTAATGGTTACTGTGTTTACCAGAAGGAACATCATGATCGTGGCCTTCGTAGAAACTCGGCTTTCACCATGAGGAGTCATAATTCTTCTAAATGAACACCGTCCAGCACCCAAGGTTGAGTTTGAGTGATTCGATCTATTTATTCTGGTTAGGATATTTCACAGCAAGTTGGTTTTTTACGGTATTAAGTCGTTATCATCAAGCCCAACTCTCCTACACTATGGAGCTTGCTACGGAAAGTAACCATTGAAATGCTCCAGTCGGAGTTATTACTGACTATTTTTGACAATTATTTCAACCGAGAATTTGGATTGTCGGTTGTTAAATTTACTTAACGGTCATCTCTGAGCTTGTAAATCCATATATAAGCCATCATTTATTTACACTAAGTGCTAGATATGTTACAAAGTTCCTCTCCTGAGAGTGGCCGATCCATGAGAAGCAATTATTAACATTGTGTTTATTACAAATATGATCAGGTGTACCTGTACACCTTTTGGTATCTCTATCTCAGATACCGAACTAAACTGATTTTTGCAACTTTGTGGCAGTCACTGAAGCTTCGGCTAGTAAAATCACTTGCTCTCTCACCTTCATCCCTTTAATAGAACAACCATGTGCTATTTTGACAAATTTTGACTCTTGACGCCAATAACTATTTAAGTAAGAATTCGTACTTTGATAATTGATCTTGAACTAATATTCTTTGACTTGAATCAACGTTGGAAGACTATAAGTACCTCTACAGAATAATCGGTGATGCAGTATATATTCAGGGTTCGACGAATTTTTTGTCCTCAGCGTCTTTATAACCAAGTAACTAAAACCCAGTCAAACCAGAAGTCCGAAATCAAAATCATAACTGTTCTTGGCAAATGATCGAAACGTTCAAAGTGTTGCGCAAATTAGCTAATTTTTGAGAGACGGTTGCGTAACATGATGCATCCAACGGTGATCAGGTGCTATGTGTATCTGGGCACCTTCACCTTGAGCATATATAGCAAAACTAATGACGTCAGCATCCATTTCAAAGATACAGGACTATTTTCCTTGAGGATATTTTACAGCCACAGCGCAGTCCGTCTAGTAAGTTAGAGATTTCTCTGAAACGTGACAAGTCAGGAGTTTCAGTCTGACGTGCGTGACGTTAAACATATTTTCTACTCCTATAAAGAGCCTACAGTACATAATATGTACGTGATAACCCGCCAACTGATTAATTAATTGAGAAGTCAAGCATGTAATAGAAAGTCTATGTAACGGTCGAATCATTTGTATATGTACTCGTTCATACACATATTTCAACCTCTAAAAATGAATCTATTGCTTCACTGATGATATGCCTTATTCCTTTAGGACACTTCAGATAGTCACCAGATGGCCTCGTTCAGCCACTTGCAGCAAGCTCTCTATTTGAGCGTATCAAAAATCACTCAGTGCTAGTTTTTGATACAATAAAAGTAGATAATAAAATCATTTGGCTGTAAGACGCGGAAAGCTAGTTTGAAAAGAAATTTCAAAATGTCCTGCACGCAGTAGTCGTTTAAATGCCCTGGGTAGTGAGTAGTTATTCGTAGTAAGAACATAGAAAGTTCAGTTTTTAATTGCTTCACTGGTCCTTAGAAATGGATGGAGATCGACAGAAGTTCGTCACTCATCATTCATGAAGGCATGGTCCACTTTAATGGTAGTGATATCTTTACAGTCTACTGCCATTTACCGTCGTACGAAACAGTTCACACACACTACGGATTAATAATTGATGCTTGAATTCATTGAGCATCTTGCCTAATAAGGATGAACTTGGTTGAAGCTAGCCTTCACTAGTGAAAGCTGATTACCGTGTTCTGGTTTCAGTAGTAGGACTGGGGAATAACCTATCGAATAGAAGAGCAATAAGAACTGAGCAAAACTCGAGGGTCTTAGTCTTAGTTGGTGTGTTACTGATTGACCGTGAAACACGGCTAAATAAATCTACATTTTGGTTGGTAGTGGACAGTTTTGAGCTATAAAAAAACATGAAAAATGAGATAGTAATTTGTGGCAGAAAATATAAAATTTTTATCGCTGATTTTGGACGATTTAGCAAGATATCCTTTAGCTTTTACATAATGTTAACACAGTAGTCGAATATCTAATGCCGACGAGTGCAGCGAACCCAGTTGCTTCACATAGATATTATAGATAACAATATCAGTGAATGCCAATTAATGCTTTTTCGGTCAAAATACGAGACAGATCTCTTTATTATATATCTAGTGTATTTAAAATATCACTCCAACCGAACAAACTGCAGTGACAAAAATACGCGTGCTAGATTTACCAACCGTAAGGATGTGCATACCCGAAACATCTTAACGGAAATGAACATGTCCAGATGATGCAGACGTTTCTGGAAAAATAAAGCTATCAACAGACAATAACAATCTCAAATATTTCTCCACTCTGATAGAGCAGTAGGTCAAACAAAAGCTAGCAATAGCTAATAACAGTCAAACGATTGCCAGACAATTGACTTTATACTTGTACATACCAAAAGTAAGTTTTATCGATGTTTATTTGAATAAATTTTGAAATCCGTATATACACGAATGTATGAAGGTTCATGTGCTTGGAAAACGTTATTTTACTGATTTATTGGAAGCAGATATATGATCTTTTGGGACAAGATTTGCAAGTTTCACTTGGAACACACATGAAAGAAAAATTTTAGCCAGGCTACCGTGGTCGATAGCGGATATCGATTATTCTATGGTCGTTCGGAGTATATAGTTCTTAATTTGACGTTCTGAAATAAAAAAACGTAACAGTTAATCACATCAGAATTCTTCAAGTTATGATCACTATATAATTTAGACGTAGATTTGTAGTTTGGCCATATTCGAAAAGTCAAATCAAAAGTCAAAAATCAGGTAAAAACTTGGAAGCTTTGTGTTCTAAATACGACGTTTGTAGTCTTAGCATCATAGGCAAGCCATAGCTATATATGAACGTAGTATATTTGGCTGAAATCGCTTACACTCAGACACGATTTGGTTTGTTATACGTGTACCATAGAACTGATCAGTACATATTTTTTTAAACCACTTAAACATGAAACTTACCTTGAAATAACTGTAGTGATCTCTAATCTGCCAGTAACTAGCCAAATACTGCATGAGTTTGCTTTAGGTTTGTGATGCTGCTAAGCGAACTACGAAATAACCTGACATACAATGCAACCTCACGTAGTGAATTACTAACAATATTAAAAAATTATTTTTCTAACTGTCTTAGTAAACAGAAAAGTATTTTGTATCTCACCATGTTAACATGACGTAATGTAATCACACTCCTTATGAATTTGGGTGTTCACCGTCCGATAAACTCACAACCAACTTATGAAATAGACGAGAGTAACTATTAATGTGCACAAAAGTCTATTTGATGTCCGTAAGACACTCAAAGTACTAAAACGAAGGCTATCCGTTCAAAATTGTTAAAACAGATCAAGACATATTGGATATCGGACAAAGGCGCGGTATTTACGAACTCGGCGTAGTTTTGGTTACTTGCTGGCTCTTGCTTTGCGAGGGATCAATGTCGCATTCCCCTGGTGACAAAGTTTTCGCTAAGATAAAGGGATTTCCAAACTGGCCTGCTAGGGTATTTTGATAATATTCTAAACGTGTTTGTAGATTAACCCACTTCCACTTGATGTGCAAATACCCAAGGGGAAGCTTCCAATATTTTTCTACGGAACCTATCAAGTGTAAGCTTGTCGAACTTCATCTTTGAATCATTCAGTTCATTCGTTTCCGTCAAAAATATTGTCCCATATGAGAAGTTTAAAGAAAAATGGGGAAAGCCAAAACCAAGCGCACAATTCATGACAGCTATGAAAGAAATCGAAGCTAATCCAGGCATCTATATGCTGGGAGAGGTAACCTCATTCCTCTTAAACTTAAGCCTACCTAGGACCCTAGAGCTGAGGAATTCCTGCTTCAATTTTATGACTTCAAACCGAGTAAGTAGATTGTTTACGTTTTTTCTTATCAGAAAATAACAGTTATATTTTATCTTGTAAGCGCGTGCTAGGTCGCTTTTTTTACTTTAACTCTTAGAGATGCTTTGATATTAAGGCAAGTCAGGGTTTCACAAAGCCTGCCCTAACTTAAACATACCTGACATTTCTGCCTTCTGAATTCCTGCTTGAGATCAGTCAACCAAGGAGCTCCATACTCGAACCACCCATCATTATTCAGTTCAGCTTATATAGTGTTATCAAGAACCCTTGTTTAAAGTATGACTTATAACTGACTACAAAAATTGTCTCGTTGTTAAACTTAACTAATAGTGATGGATACATATCCCCCCTCATTATAGATCAAATGGTGTGCATGTGACTCCATGTCTGCATAGTTATTGAAACTCAGATAAAATCCCAAAAGCAGTTTGTGATTGTTGTTAAGCACGAAAATTTTTATACCTTATCTCTAATCACATCATCCTAACTATGTGGTAGATATCACTTCATACGATATGACTTGTCAGGTTGGGGATTGTCAATAAAGCACACTAGAATCATTCAGAGGAAAATAGTTATGAAGCACGTGCCAGGTGATGTGTATACTTTGTAGTGGAAACCTTAATACATGTCGGGTTTCATCCTAACATACACCTTATAGTGCATCCAAATGCCCAGGTACGGTCGAGTAGTGTCTACTCTCCCTCTCAAAGTGCCCTAATATGACCAAGCGTATATAACTTCTGCTTACTGCCTTCTGACACAGGTTTTGTTTGCGAATTTGAGAGTATCAGAAGCAAATGTCTGGTGCTTTACCCAAGCCGATGGCTAGAGGGGAGTTGGAAAACCCGAATTCCAAACCAGTGGCACGCAGGGGTTCTAGGGTCCTGATGAAACAAATGGTGTGTAAGCCTATTTTTTGTCATTGGCTATCAATGTACCGCATTTCCTTTATTACAGAACCGGGTTAAAGAACAATAGAGAATTAAGATGATAATAGTTGAAACCAGTTAACGGACAACAAATATTGCTTACAGAAGATGAAATCAGTCACGCAGTCAGTTACAACTTAAAACTTCGTACGTACGTACATCAGTTCAGGTTGTCATACTGCATTGTCTCAGAGATGCGATTGTCAGTTCAAATCCCACTGTAGTAGAGGTAGTAGAAGTACTAGCAGGCTTCGACGATATTATTCAAGAAGTCGAATCTAGTGAAATAAACTCAAAAAGAAAAAGGTGATCAGAAACTCCGAAGGTTAAAATGTGAGAGAACACAAAGAATGAATGCACCTGTGCCATTTCAATCGGTTTTGATCCATGCTGTTCAAGGTCTCTAACCATTGATTACTACCATCTCGCAGACCCCAACCAGGTAGTCTACATTTATCAATATGACTCAATCCAGTTGTCAGTGAACTCATGGATTTCTGCCATGTTTTGGTCTGGCCACCCCTAGCTTTCGTCAGCCTGCTCTTACACCGCAAAACAGCTTGACGAGGCAGTCGGTGGTTTTGCATTAGTAACACATGTCCCAACTATCCCAACTGATGAAGTTTCAATACTCCATCTATTGATATGTCATCCTTACCTAGTACCCGTTTCCGGTCACTCAAGTTGATAATAGTGACATTCGGTTATTTACTTCAAAATCGATAACTGGAATTATCGATCCTGTTATTGTAGGTAGGATGCTAACCTACTGAGGTTCATTGTCTATTCCTGCCTGTAATTTTTCTTGAAGTAAGAAAAGCTAAATTTCATTTCTACTGTGTGCAAGGCTTCAATAAAGTTTGTAATGTGATTAATCAGTTGAGATACTGCCCAAGCATAAGGTATAATACAAGTTTTCAATATGTTTATTAGGCTTGAAATAATTTCATTTTGCAAAAGAGGATTGTATGCATGATTAGTGATTGTACCGGTTACTTTAACGTGGTGATGCCTATTATAACTATCCAATCAACCTATGGTCATCGAAACGCATTATAGTGCTGTGATTTGTACCGAACGACATTCGTCTCACCATAATAGCTCGTTTTTACTTCCATCGCTCATCTATCATCTTACTTTAAAACAGCATTCGATCTGTCTAAAATGACTGTCCATACAGTTAAGAGATCATAGCACGTAGAAGTATTCGAACATCACTTCGCTTACTTGGTTTGAGTAGTCAAATAATATCACTGGTCCTCACTAGAAAAGTAAAAGTGAAAACCAATTGTATGAATCTATGTTTAATTAGTGGGTTATATCAAATTAAAAGCGTACATTTTTCATACTTATGTATGATTTAGTTGATTAGTTAACCAAAAAACGTATACTTTTTAAAAACGGGTTTTCTTAATTCTTATTTTAGTCGGTAGTGGATGTGTTCGCCAACACAAACGTCAGTATTCGAGGTAACTTTCAGCATCCTAATTTTAAAATAAATTGGTTTTCTTTTGCATTTAATAAGATAAGTTTAGTCAATTTAGATACACGATTATTCACTGGTTCAGAATTTTCAACCTCAGTTCCTAACTAGTTTGGTCGCAAATGTAAGATAATGTATTTATCTTGTACATATAAGGTAGGACTTGCGTTCTAATGTTTATACGCTCATTTGTTTACTGCAAAGTGTATATTTATGATTGTTAGGGTTTATTTGTAGGAATTTTCGGGTTAGAAGATAGTTAGAAGCACATTGTTGTATTGGATGACTTAGTTCCTCTCACTCATAGGTAGTAGGGAGTTTAAAATCAAGCATTTTATCACCATATTATTTCACAGTGAACACAGATTGTTTCGATCACCTTATGCACCAATCAATGCATATTTAGTACATGCTTCTCACCCTCTAAATGCAAAATGTTGCTGTAGGCGAGATTTTCATCTGCTCCACTTTGTAGTACTCTGTGGCTATGTAATATGCTATGTGTGAGACGTGTTTAAACCGTGGGATTTTTATTATTAGTGCTAACCACTTGTACATTTAAGTTTTGTAGTGTTTAAACCGGATTGATATTTTCATTGTTTTAACTGTGTTTTTGCAATTTATTTTAAATTTTATGAATATATTTTTTAACCGGGTTAAAGATTTTAAACATTCTAGTTTCGTTTTATTACTGAAACTATTTGTGATCAGTACGAAAATATACTTTAGGTTGTTTTCATCAACAAAGTTTATCGTCATCTATGTGTTGGTAAAAGATGTTGCTTTAGCTAATGTATATACTAATTTACAGTAATTATATAGACGATTCTCATTGAAACCTTTAACAATTTTGAATTACAAAAAGTCTGATAAGTGTTAATCATCACAAAAAGTCAAATTTTGTCAAATAAACGGCATTGATTGTAATCAAGTATTTCAATTCTCACTTTGATTTGGATACTTAGGAAGTCGAAAGTTGACAATGACCAACCACTTAGTATTACTAATCAAGAGGCTAGTAGTGGCAGTCGTGATCAAATAGATCGTGTCAGTGATGATGCATCAAGTGATATAAGCTCCGGTCCGTCGAAAGTCGATAGCTTAGATCCAATTGCTGACGACAGTAATGATGAAATGTTGATGGATAATACAAATCATCACTTACAGTGTAGTGATGATTATCAACGAGTGGATATGAGTTGCTCAAACAGACTTAGTCCTAATTCGACAATTGATCATCCATCCGATGAAAAGGATTCTTATCAAGAGGATAGAGAAGCTCGTCGACTTGCTCGTAAATTGCAGAAAAAAGCTGAGAAAAAAGCTTTAAAGAAGGCTGCTAAACGAGAAGCCAAACGATTGGCGAAAGAGAAACGAGCTGAAAGACGTGCTCGGCGAGAAGCTAAACGTGAGTTAAAACGTCTTCATAAACTTGAAAAATGCCGTTTAACAGAACAAGGAAGTCTAACATTCGATATCCATGAATTGGATACTAGAAATTCTGAGATTAACCAGGAAAGCTCTATCAGTCATGCATGGGGTGATAATCAGTGGTCTCCTGCTTCTCATTCTGAACCTGTTCAAACTAATGAAGATTCTACCGACTCCAGTACTGGCAAACCTATCCCGCCTACCTTGGACAATGGACTTATCAAACAGCTTCGTAAGTTTTACGCAATTCCTTTGTTCTAGTTGTATAAATTTTTATTTGAATTGCCTCCTCTGTGTCCATCTTTTGGTTTATGTACTATTAAATTCATCTAAATTGAATAAAGTTCTATCTAACACCAATTAATCAGTAACTTATTGTTTGAACATGAATTTACCATCTCTTGCAATTAGGCAACTTTGAAATCATGAACCGATCAATATTAGACCACCCTTTAAAACCTGGGAGCACTGGATGGCCGTTTCGTCCTAGTACAGAACTCATCATCAGTGAGTATTCATAACCCTATAATAAAAATTATCATGTGCTCACTAGTGACTAGCTCCGTAAGGAAGTGTCCCCAAAATCTGATGAGAAGTCTTGACCAGTGGGTCCAATCCTGTTCAGTGTGAAGCAGTGCTCACTAAAGATTGTGGATGAGGGAGCTTGCACAAGACCGTGAATTGATCGAAGTTAAACATGAATACTACCGGATACTGGCCCAGTGGTCCAGAGGTTAAGCGTTCACGCCAAAGACCGAAGGTCCCGGGTTCGGTTCTTGCGAGTAGTAAGGGTTGTGGATGTGCACTGCTGAGGAGACCCGTGCCAAGACGAAACGACTGTTCAGTACTTCCGGGTATCTAATGATGGTCTAAAATTGATTGACTCATGATTTCTTCAAAATATAGTTATATATCATGGACTATGAACTCCACATATCAGTCGCACTGTAATCGATTAATTTTTCCACTCCATAGCAGACATTAATTATAGTTTGTTATAACGCTGCGGATTCATCCATTCATTCATTCATTGATTATTTATCTTTATTTATACCTTGAGTTTCTCCATACTCTTGCATACATGCCTTTTCATTTTGTCTTCTCATACCATATTCTCAATGTCTAATCTTTGTTTCTTTTTAAAATAATTTTTGCTACTACAATGATTTAAACTTATTTGTCTATTTATTTTGTTGATTTTATTTGTCTGGCTGACCTAGTCTTGCAATTGATATACCTTTACTTTTTTAAACTGTTAATCTAATTACTTTAACTTTTCGTTTCATTTCAATAGGATTCTCGAGATTTTTTTTAAAAATTTTCGTTCGAATGTGCATACATTTTATATGATATATGTAATGTACGTGTTATTTTTCTCTACTCACTTGTCACATGAGTTACACGTAATGAAGGTAATCTATGTTAAGTGGTTGAAGCTAGTTGACAAGAAACTCTAGTTCATCTTGGTTTCATGCAGTTTGTCACTAGTCAACAGTCAGTCTCGTGTACTGTTATGGGTATGAGGGCGGATGTCACTTCTCGGGTGTCCACACAGTGGAAGAGTGTTTCCTAAGGAACCTGAAGAGGAAGATAGATAAGCATTGGTCTTAAGGACCTGGGAGCATGATAGCAGAGCCCGAGGGACAACTGCTTGAGGCCGGTCACGCACTCCACTCCACCGCCATGGGCGGAAATCCACGGAGTAAGGTGAGGTGTGAAATTTTTAGGGTCGACCTTTTCTAACCCCTTCCCACCTTGTGAGAATGCAGCATCGCTGCAGATGCTGGTTGTCTGAGGGAAACACCTTACTGTTGTCACACCCCTCTGGGTCAGCAGTACGACTTCGCCCTCAGACCTTGAGTAGCTGCTTTTAGTCTCATCATTCTTCAATAGATCTGCTTGGCATGGCAGAACCTACAGAAACACGTTGCAGCTAATATAGCTCGGTCGGGTCATCACGATAGTCAAGACTGACCACCACGTCAAGGTAGCAGCTACGGTCGGGACTAGTCAACAAGATGTACCCATAAAACGTGAAGGGAATAACAATCACTAGTAAATTTCATTCTTTTTTCTAATGGTTGCTAACTGAAACAAAACCTTGATTAGACTGGGTTGCTTATTGACCAGTTCAGATCAGCTAGCATCTCATCATGGTACACTCGAAGTGTAATCACATAGACACTAGTGGCTACATTACAATTTAACCGATAGAATTCGGTCAGCATTATCAAACTACTTGATGAGCATATTACTGATCACTCAGTGGTCTATCTACTGTCAAAAGTAAAACCTTTTTTAATATATTGTCGAAAGTACGAATAGTGAATTTTACTGCCAAGGCAGAAGTCTGATTAAATCATATTTTTCAGTATTTATTGTAATCTTGGTTTGTATTAATTATTTAATTATTTCTAAAGCTAAGCAAGTTAATTCTTGGTTTTCGATTAACGAAGTTTTTGTTTGAATCAGTTCTATATAGGACGTCTGAGTTAAACACTTTGTTACTCTTATATTTACTCCTGCCACATGTAACCCCTGTGTCTAATAACCAAATTTTCAACCATTCAATCAACCAGTCATTCAGTTACAACGTAGAACTTGGTACGTACGTACATAAGTTCATGTAGCCATACCACATTAGCACAGAGATTCCTATAGACTTCATTCCTGTCAATTGTAAGGTAGTTATCCACTGAAGACAATTGTGAATGGCCATGCAATATCATGGATTCACTGTTAGATCTTGACTCAGTGATGTAGAAGTTAGATATTCGCGCACGAGACGCACGATCTCGGGTTGAATTTCCGCCTGCGGTGTTTTAGATGAACACTATTTAGAAACCCCATACTATGATTAACAGGCTGTCCAGTGCTCTCAGTGGTGATCTAACATTGATTTGAACTGGGCTCTAAGCAAATGACATTTTCGTGGATGTTATGCTTTTGCGAACAAGTCGCCAGACTACTTATATATCTAATCAGTAGTATAGCTTTTAATTAAGATTTACGTTCAAGTTCTCAATATATGCTGATCAGTGTGATAGCGTAACATATCACATCTGAAAATCTCGAGTTACATTTGGTGTATGTTCAGAATTTTTCGTTAATCATGATTCCCGAACCATTATAATTCATTTGTAAGGATTTGAATCTCCCTGTTGTTGGTGTTTTGAACTTCAATCGTTCATTATCTTCTGGTTTATGCATCCTGAGTCGATTTGGTCGATTCAAATAGAGTGGAGTAGTGGATGGCTATGGATTCTAAGACTGTTGTTACGCTGTACTTAAGACTTATTAACTGGCACATCCCTCCGTTAATGTTCGTGCCAGGATTTGAACCCACTGCCTTTCACTTCAAACTCCGACGCGTGTTATCCACTTAGCCGATGAATGCAGAAAGCTAATACCTCACGAAACGGGGATAAATTAAAATTTATTCGTAATGGATTGGTTTTCAAAGTAAAAATCACTAAGTTTGAGTCCTGGAGTGAACATCAATCTTGGAATGTGGCAGGTTCATCCAACTGATGAGTCTTTAATTAGACAAAACGCGCGTACTTTGCGTTACTCCGTCCTTTTTTTATGAAATGCTACAAAAATACACTTTTCCTATATGAGTAAATTTGGCGTGTATTTTGAAATTGATGTGTAAGTGAATTATGTAATAGAGTGTTTTATGATGAAATTTTGTTCATTTATAGAATTTGAGCGTCAAACTGAAGAAGAAGAAGATGAAGAAGACGAAAACGATGATGACGATGATACACTTCCAACTTCTCAAGGTGACAATTTTTCTCCCAATGAAGAAATTGTACTCAAAGACATGGATTTCTCAAATACTACAACACTTTTAGATTATAATGAACATGAAAATTTCACTGGAAATAAACGTTCAAGACTATCGCCTAATTCAAATGATTGTGATGCATTGAATGGAATAGTTGAATTGGGAGCTAATGAAATAATTCCTCCTAAGAAAAAAGCTAAAACAGAAATCATTGTTAACGAGAACAACGATGTGGTGTGTCATTCTGAAGCTAAAGTTACATCATCAGAATCACATGATCGTTTCATCATGGGTGAAAATGACTCTCAATTAAATAATGAACAAGATGTTCAGCAGTCGGCAACAATAATTGAAACTACTGCTACTACTACTAAGAAATCAGTAGAAGTTGAGTCGTCGGACAATCCAAAACAAACTAGTCCTGAGCAGCCTACATCAGAAACGGTCACTAAACATATTGTCCATAGTAGAACCACTAGTAGTAGTAGTAGTATTGGTAATAAACAAACCAAGTCTAAACAACAACGTTCTCGTTTACGTACAAAGAAACCTACTGTTATTTCATTGGATTTAGATGATGATGATGATGAAGAAGAAGAAGCTAATGAAATAGATTCTAAGAAAAAAGTCATCAACCTACACGATTCTTCTTCATCCTCATCGCCATCCTCACCATCAGCTTTATCATTGTCAAATGATTCTGATGCAGAGAATGCCAAAATCAAAGATAAACAACAGCTATCGTCAAAATTGAAAGAGAAAAGCCGAAACTCTTCACCACCGAAATCTTCCATAGTCATCAACAAATCGAATCAACTGAAAAAATCACGAAATCAAGAATCCAATAAAAAAACTCGAAATACTACTACTACTAATAATAATAATAATAATTTAAAAGGGAAAAGTAAATCAACAGAATCTAAATCGACTGCTGCATCAAATACTGGTGCAGTAGGAGTACACGATGAAAAAAGGTAAGTGAAAAATGTTATATAGCGAAATTTCAATGGTATTTTGTCTCTTACCGAATGATGATAGTTGATTCCTTTTTTAAATGTATATATATATATATTTTTAAGGAACCTGCATTTACATAACAAATCTAGCGTTAATCGATCGGAAATAGGTTAATTAGTATTGGTTATAGCAGTGGATTTGGCTACTCTTTTTCCCCTCACTCTTCCACTATAATGTGACGACTGGTCTGTGTGATTGATGATTTACTGTCATTGGATTAGATACTCGAACGATATACTCTACACATAGACTAGATCACATTAAACGAGATGAAGTGATAGGTAGTGAAGTAGTTGACCGTGTTGACCGCTTCACTTTTCTTGGAAGTTTCATCAGTGCTGATGGCCTGGTGTGTGACGAAATCTCAGCACGGATACACAAGGCTCGATTGGCTTTTGCCAACTTGCGCCACTTATGGCGTAGGCGAGATATCCATTTGCTGACTAAAGGACGAGTATACTGCGCAGTAGTTCTCTCCGTCCTACTTTATGACTGTGAAACATGGCCGCTAAGAGTAGAAGATATTCTTAGGTTACTAGTATTCGATCATAGGTGTCTTCGAAGCATTGCTCGCGTATCATGGGACAACCGAGTAAGCAATGCTATCGTTAATAAACTGGTCATAGTTAAGGGTGACTGATCAATAGATGAATTATTGACACTTCATCAGTTGAGGTGGTTGGGACATGTGTTACCACCGACTACCTCTACGAGCTATGTTTTGTGGTGTAGGAGTAGGTTGGGTGAAAGCTAGGGGCGGCCAAACCAAAACATGACAGAAATGCATGAAGTCATTGACAAGTGGACTGAGTCATGTCGTTGGTTGTCGACTACCTGGTTGGGGTCCACGAGATGATAGTGATCCACAGTTAGAGACCTTGAATGACTTGACCCAAAACCGTTTGCATTGGCGCAGGTGCATACATTGTTTGTGTTCTGTCAAATCACCGATTGTTTGACAACATTCATTGAAACATTAGAATGATAAATTTTTCATTGAATAATTTGTAAACTGGCCTATTACGCCCACAGACATTATAGTTTAATAAGTCAAGTAGTGTATAACTTTTGTATGTTAAACTTGAACAAATTGACATTCATTGTAGTGAATTGTTCATTGTGGTATAGTTCTAATTAATTGGAATCATTTACATTTATAGACATAATTGGCATTTGAAAATTTTATTTGAAAAGATTAAAACTTTATAATCATTGGTTAGGGTTAGATAGATGGAAATCAATGTGAGAAAGTAATGATCAAGTTTTAAAAAATGATTTCATTAATTTGTTCTTAATTGTACGATAGATAATACTGTGTTATGGTTTAGTTAATTAGATGATTTCTGTAATTTTCTACGTTGAATTATGTGAAAAGTTATTTATTTTAATGATTGAATGATGTTGATTTATTTGTTCTGGCCTAATAGCAATCTTATTCATGAAAAAAAATACCTTATGTGATTAATAATGAGTTTAATCATTTTTTTCCAAACTTTCAAAAACAATCGATAGATAGTTGGAAAAAACCAAAATCGCATTCATACTAGTCTTATCTTTAACATAAAAATCATTAGCCTCAGTCAGTCAGTCAACTACATCACATTAGCACACACAAAGAGAGAAATTGATTTGTCAATGCGAATCCAATCCATAGTAGTAGAGCTGGTAGTAGAAGTAATAGCAATTATTGAAAAGATTATGCACATATTATTATATATCATTTGAATGGTGTTTGCAACCTGTTTTACCTATCTATGCATGTATTCAGTTTTGATAGTTCTTAATTTAAGTGTAATATTACGCACTCATGATCCCGACCGTAGCTGCTACCTTGACGTGGTGGTCGGGCTTGACTATCGTGATGACCCAACCGAGCTAGATTGGCTGCAACATAAGTTCCTATAGGTTCTAACATGCCAAGCAGATCGATTGGAGAACGATAAGACTAAAAGCAGCAACTTAAGGTCTGAGGGCGAAGTCATACTGCTGACTGTAGAGGAGTGTGACAGCAGTAAGGTATTTCCCTCAGACAACCAGCATGTGCAGCGATGCTGCCTTCTCAAAAGTTGGGAAGGGGTTAGAAAAGGTTGACCCTAAAAATGTCACACCTCACCTTACCTCGCTGACTTCAGTCTTTGGGGATAACGATACATGAAGATCGGAGCTAACACTTCAAAAACCCCACGAAAAGGTCGTGTGTGACCAGTCTTAAGTAGTTGTCCGCTGGCAATTGCAGTCACTCTCTCAAGTCGCTAAGACCATCGCTAATCTAACTTCCTTTTCAGGTTCTTCAAGAAACACCCACTCTCATGTCCATAACAACCCACAAGTAGCGCTAGTGATATTAGTCATTTTTATTGAGTCAACCACCTTAACATACGAGTCACGACTAAAGGGTTATTATTACTAGTTACAATGAGCGTGATATTTTATTATTATTATTATTATTATTATTATTATTATTATTATTATTATTATTATTATTATTATTATTATTAGTATAAACCGGTCAAAAAATTTACTTCACTTGTTGACTAACCAAATGGTTTGTATTTTTTTCTTTAAGTTTATGCGTAATTTTGTCTGTGATTTGTCATTTCAAAAAGTGTACATCTTTTGTTATTGTTTTTAGATTATCTAACGATTCAAGTAGTAAGTTTTTTGTCGACTATATTCATAAATTCATATAAATCTTCTTATTATTTATAAAATAATCAATCCAATAGTTTGCAATTGACTCTAATTAATTAATTAAATTTATTTTCGCATAATTAATATACAGTAGTACTAGACCAACATGATCCCGTTCATCACCACCTACTCACTAATCAATAAATTGTAAATATTTCAGTTCTACCAAAGGTCATTAACTGTCTAAGTAATTTTGAAACTGACTGACACAAGCTCAAATCCTTTAGTTATCACCGATTCCTGTAAAGATTACAACTATACCTTGCTGACGAGTGCCAGCTAGTAGTACAAAAGTTATTTGAGTTTTGGATTTACATTCAACTGTCTCCGATCATCACCTCACATTTCAACATACTGCATTTGGTTTTAAAGCAGACTAGTAATTACTTTGTAAATGAATCGATAAAATTTGATCTACAGCATTTCAAGAAAGTACTAGACAGACATGACATTGTCGATTATTCAGTAATTAATCATTTGTGTTTATACATCATCTCTATGTTTTTGGAAATTCTTGTTTTAGTTTTTCCTGACAACTAAATCAATTTTATATTACCAATAATTGTGGCTGAAACCAGTTTGTGATTAAAACTAGGAAACAATTCTACATACTCACCAGTGACTAGCTTTAAGCTGCAACTCCTAGAGTTCTATTGAGAAGCCGTGATCAGTGAAGTTCAGTTTTTTTCGGGCGTAAAACAGTTATCCGTTGCAGACAATGGGTGAAGGTTTTGCAGTATCGTGACTTCATTGAATTTAGATATATGCACCGTTGGATGAAGGCTCATTGGTCTAGGAGTTAGGTCTTTGTACGCGAGATCAAAAGTCCTAGGTTCCATTCCTTGTGGTGTAGTTGTAGATGCATACTGTTGTGACGTTCGACACTAAGATAGAATAGTTGCTCAGTGCGGGTCTTGATAAAATGAGTTCATAATTAAAGCTATTAAAAATTACAAATCAGTCAGTTGTATTTGTCTAGTTCTCCACTGCTGATCGAATTCTGTCTATCAAGTTTCAATGACTCGAAATCGTGTACACTATATTTTGATATTGTCTTTTTGGAAGTAATCAACAGCAAATGTTACTTGGTCTAAGTCTCGTGCTCATTGGTTCTCGTCAGCCAAGTGTAACTGTAATCTTGAGGAAACTGGCTCAACCCCTTGTCGATCAGCTTCACAATCTATGATGTTATCATTGAGCTATTCTTACCTCAGCTGTCAAGCATGGTTTCCTGTCGACTATTTCAAACCACTTGTAAAACACAATCGCATTGATTCATCTTCGAATTCCTGGATCTTAATGTTCATACTTTTCCATCCACTGTTTTCATTTCCTTTTTTGAATTACACTGTATGTCTTCCTCATTGCCATCGATGTTTTAATTTTGATCTGTCTACGCTTTTCACTTTGTTTCCCTGTCCAATGTGATATTTTTAGAGCAGATGTACACACGTATACATCATCAAGTGCAAGATCGTTTTTGGCTAACCACTGCTGTTTTCATTGTTACGGTTTTCTCTCAACTATATTATTAGTGATTAACTAAGGTCAAACATATAAACAAACAATTAGATGATCTAGAAGAGATTAAGTATGCATTTACTGCGAGACTTGAAGTATTGTGTTTCATCTCTATCCCGTGCGATTGGGTCGTCAAAGTGGATCACTGAGTTCTACATTGATTATAAAGTAGCTGTCCAATGCTTCTTGGCATTTTATAATAAATGCTTAAATTTATAGTTGGGTTTGGAAATCTCCATACTGATGTTTGTTTATTTATTTGTTCTATACTTTTTAACTATTTACTGATTACCAATGTAAAGGTAATCGTCCAGTTCCAGCACCATCCATTGATCCTGTGTCTCAGTTGCATCAATGTTGTCGTGATTTGAAAACTAGCCTAATTAAAGGTCATGAGAATTTTGTTGAAGCTGTACAATTATTAAATAAAGTTCGTACTATTCCTGTACGACTTCCTCAATTAGCTGAAGCATGGGATCTTATGGATTGTATTAAAAAGGTGAGTATAGTTGGTATTTCTTTCAATAAGTGTGTTTTTGGTTTTTTTTTTCCAATTGTCTATGACATTTGGACACATTTAAAAAAAAAGTAGTTTCATAAATTATGTTTGTTGGTCATAGATGGTTAATTTTTAAATTATAGTAAACACCCTGTTCAGTCAGTCAGCTACAACGTAGAATTTCTTATTACGCATGTATGTCGGTTCAAGTCATCATACCACACTAGCACAGAGAGATACCGCATTGTCAATTCAAATCCTATAGCAGTAGAGGTAGTCGAATTATAAGCGGTAATTAAAAAGATTAGGGATAGAAGATGCTATTCAAGAATTATTTCCCAAAGAAGTAAATTTGAAAATAAAATAAAAGGTTACCATGAATTCAGAAGATTATAATTTGAAAGAAGACAAAAAGTGGATGCTGCCGCAAACGATTTTGAGCCATGTCATTCAAAGTTTCTAACCATTGGTTACTATTGTCTCTCGGACTCAACCTTGTAGTTTGCATCTGTTAACATGGCTCAGTCAAGTTGTCAATGACTTCATAGATTTGTTCCATGTTTTGGTTTAGCCGCCCCTAGCTTTCTTCCATCCCACCTGTACATCACAAAATATCGCTCGTCAGGGGAGTCAATGGTTGGACATACATAACGAATTTTAAACCACGTCAACTGGTGAAAATTCACTAATTTATCAATTGATCTGCCATCTTTATCTAGTTTAGTACCATTTTGAGATTGTGGAGAAAATTTGCAGCTCAGGTGGATGACTGTGATGTTTCGTTCTCTGAGCTGAATGTTTCGGTTGTGGAGCTTTCGTTTTTCTTCTGAACAACATTATCAGCATAAACTTCGGATAGAAGTAAGGTATTCGAATTTCTCCACGTTTGATCGAGGTTAACAGAAAAAGCTACAGGTCAAACGTGCAGAAATTCTATCCGAAGTTTATGCTGATAATGTTGTTCAGAAGAAAAACGAAAGCTCCACAACCGAAACATCCAGCTTAGAGATCGAAACACCACAACAATAGTATCCTTTTCCTAACCACAGCATTGCTTACTCTATGGTCACAGGATATTCGAGCAATGCTTTGAAGACAACAATGATAGAATACTAGTAGCCTATAAATATCGCCTACTTTTACTGGCCATGTTTCACATGTGGATAATAGGACGGAACGAACTGCTGTGCATTAGACTCGTTCTTTGGTTAGCAGACGGATATATCGCCTACGCCATAAGTGACGCAGGTTGGTAAAACCAATCAAGCCTTCAGTATCTGTCCCAAGATTTCGTCGGTATGCCCAACTGCCGACTGCCTTGACGAGCCATGTTTTGTGGTGTAACAGTCGGTTGGAAAAAAGCTAGGGGCGGCCAGACGAAAACGCGGTACGAATCCATGAATTTACTGATAAGTGGATTGAGTCATGTCGGCAGGTATCGACTACCTGGTTGGGGTCGGCGAGATGATAATAATCGATGATTAGAGACCTTGAATGACATGGATCAAAATCGTTAGCAATGGCACAGGTGCATCCATTCATTGTGTTCTCTCAAATTCTAACCTCCTGAATTCTTCATCATCTCTATCTTTTTTCTTTCTAAAGTTATCTCACTGAATTATACTTCTCGAATCATATCTTCGAACCCTAATCTTCTTGATTACTGTTAATACTTCTACCAGCTCTACCCCTACGGGATTTGAAGTGACAGTTGCGTCTCTGTTCTAATATGGTATGGAAACTTGAAATAATGTTCGTACGTACTATTTGACTAATAGACCAAATGAATTGAAATACAGTTTAACTTGATGTTGACTAGTCCATCATATGCAACGTAGAACGCAACATTTCCAATTTGGTATACCGTACTATCAAAACGAAATAAAAAAAACTATCAAAATAAATCTCTGAGTAGAAAAATTTCAGGATTCATGGATTAATGGACAATTCAGAATCACGCAAACCCTAACAATGTTATCTGCAACAGTAAATGACTTTATGGATCGATTCTTGGTTTTGTTTTGACCGCCTCGTAACTTAATGCCAATCTATTACAACTTCAAGCAACATTACACGTAAAGGTTTTTCAGCCATATCTCCTCTTTATTCGAAGAAATTTAAAGCTGTTTGTAAATATATATTGTATTCCGATATTTTAGTTTTAGCTTATTGGTTTTATCTAATTTGCAAAGCTTCATTCTTGATTAATCAAACAATCGCTGTCATCAATAAAACACAGTTTAAAGCGTCTTGTTACTTACTTATTTATGCTTTTTACACCTAGCATAGGCGGCCGACCAGCATTCGCCAACCTATTCTGTCCTGGACCTTCTTTTCCAGTTCTAACCAATTACTATTCATTCTTTTTAAGTCTGCTTCCGATTCTCGGCGTAATGTGTATTTTGGTCTCCATCTTCTCCTTTGACCTTGAGGATTCCAAATGGAAGGCTTGCCTTGTGACGCAGTTGGGCGGTTTCCGCAGTGTGTTTCCTATCTACCTTCAGCAATTCTTCCTCAGCTGGAATCTGATTTATTCTCTCCCACAATAAGGTTGTTGCTGATGGCGTCTGCCCAGTGGATATTCATTATCTTGTATAGCAACCTCAGAAGGTCTCCGGGCGAAGTTTAACTATCTTGTACTGTATACAATTTATTATTAGCGCGGATGCATCCTTCATTCTTTATCTTCTCTCAAATTCAATATTCTTCTGAATTTTTTAAAATAGATTCTTTTACTGGATTATATACTTCTCCCAATAATATCTTCCACTCTCGAATCTTTTCGATGACAAAAAAGTTCTACGTTAGTTTCTGACTGACTGATACCAATTATATGATTCGAATACATTCACAATAGATTTCATCTGTCAGTATAAATAGTTCACTAGAAATTTGGTAGGTGTTGAGTACGTGGTTGGGGCCAGCAAGATGATAGTAATTGCTGGTTAGAGACCTTGAATGACATGGCTCAAAACCAACCGTTTGCAATGGTGCAGGTGCACTCATTCTTTGTGTTCTGTCAAATTCTAACCTTCTGAATTCCTCATCGCCTTTATCTTCTTTTAAGTTTATTTCACTAGATTCTACTTCTCGAATAATATCTTCGGACCGTAATGTCTCTGATTGCTGCTAATACTTCCACTGTCTCTACTACTATGGGATTTGAATTAACAACTAGGTCTCTGTGCTAATCTGGTATTACAGCTTGTATTCATATACGTATATACAAAGTTCTACGTTGTAACTTACTGGCTGAACTACAATTTCTTGCATTTTGATTGATATCTTTTACTACGAAGTAATTTTTTTTAAGATTACGTACTTTTGTGTTACACTTCTTTATTTTTAGACGACCTATTCATTTGGTTCAATGCTTTTATTTCTTTTGTAAATTTAACTCTTCTTCTTTTCTCTCTCTCTCTCTCTCGTTATTTTGTTTATTTAGTGTCGACGATATAAACTATCAAGTGAAGTTCGTGAGGCTGCTCAAACAACATTTCAATTCTTCCAATCATTGCAAGCGAATACTACCAAAGAAGAGGTATATAAAAAATTGGTGTTTTTTTATTTTTCTGTGGTGGTGGTTTCGCGTTCACCAACTGAAAGTCAAATAAATTGGATCAGTGAACACGACACAATTTGAAGTTATGGAGTTTATTGTTTTCACACATTGAAATCATGAATCAATCAGTGTTAGACGACGATTAGAAACCTGGGAGCACTGAACGCTGGGTAACAGTGGTCGTAGATGCGCACTGCCACTGATGAGTCTCTTACCAGGACGAAACGGCTGTCTTTTAGTGCTTGCAGGTTTCTAGTGATGGTGGTCTGACATTGATTGATTAAAGATTTCAATGTGTAAAAACAATGATCGCCATAGCTCTAATTGAGAAATTGTACAATATGCTCACTGCTGACTAGCTTCGTGAGGAAAATTCTCGGAGTTCTAGTGGGATTCAACCGTGTCAGGTGTACGCAGTTATCTACCGAACACAATGGGTAAGGTTGCACGAAATCTCTAGACTGATCAAAGTTAAATACTGACATCGTTGTAATGGTGCAGGTGCATCCACTATTTGTGTTTTCTCAAATTCTAATCTTCTAAATTCCTTGTCACCTATATCTCTTCACTGGATTATACTTGAATAATATCGTAGAACCTTAAAATTCCCGACTACTGCTAATACTTCTACTACTTCTACACTACTATGGGATTTAAACTGACAACCTCATATCTTTGTGTGATAATGTTGGTATGACAACGTGAACTGATATATGTACTTATGAAGTTACACATTGTGGGGCTGGCTTATTGATTAAAGACTTCTACTGTAGTTTAATCCGTTTGTTAATTAAAATCGCCAACGATGTATAAATGTAGACTGTTCATTTTTACGAATTCAAATAGATTTTTCAAAATCTTCATATTTTGCCTAATGTAAAACTGCCATATAGTCAGTGAAATGAATGAATAAATTTAACGCCAAGAAAAAAATGAATCAACAGATTACTCTCTGAATAGTTCATCTATCAAAATGTAGTATTACTGGGTAAGGTTTTGCTTCAAGATCAAATATCCATGATTATTAATATACAAGGGTATGATTGCGCATACAATTCACTAAACACTACGTATTGTGTATTTTACACAATCGATTTCGAAATTTTTTGAGCAGCCTACAAAAAGGTATTTTAACTGTGCTCATTATATATATTTATATAATATTTGAATTTCTTGCAAAAAGGTTGCATTTTCGTATTCTGATTGGCTTATCTCTTTGCATTAAACTTTTATTAACTAACTAACTAACTAAACTACTCAAAGATGTTGTTTGTCTTTGAAACAAATCGATTTATTTAATATAATGAAGAAATCGATTAAAAAACGAGTTAATATTAGTGTGATTATAATTATTATTATTTCTATCAAGCAACTGATGATGCGTGTATTATAGTAAGAAGTACTTAAATATTTGCATCGGGTATTAACTCATCATCACTGGTTACATAACGTGATCAAATCTAAAATATTGACATTAAAATAAAGTCTAGTCTAGGAGTGTGCTTGTGTATGGAAACATAAATAAGACTTTTAGACATAAAAAGTCTCGAAGAAGAGCAAACGTGTTGAGCAATCTGAACTGATGTACTTATGTACGAAGTTCTGCGTTGTATCTGTCTGTCTGAATTATCTTTTCTTTAGATCCATTGGTCTATTTATAATCTTCTATAAGCCATAATTATTTGTTATGACTTAAGTCACCTCTACTGTTCTTCAATTCGATTCTCTAGTAGATCTTCGTTTTTTTTTTCATGATTTCTTTTTACGAAACTTCGAGAACCAGTCATTGTTAACGTCTCAAATTGGTGATACTGGGTCATGCAGTTTCTGATTCCCTCAAAATTCCATATATGTCTCGATTAACCAGTAACGATTAACTCGAAACCTTATGCAAAAAGCAGGGTTTCCATGTTGAATACCATTAACTAACTAATATGTAAACATAGTCTATGCAAAATATCCAGTCATTGAGTTGCATAACGACTACATTGCAACTTGATCTACGGAATTCGACCAACACTAAGTAAGACTTAACAAACCTGACATTGATCGCACTGTTCATTGATTAATCAATCGTAAAATGCAATCATTCCGTTGTGGGAAGGTGACTTCACACTCAGACCGTGAGTTGTTGCTTTTAGTCTTACCGTTCTCCAGTCAACCTGTCTGGCGTGGTAGGACCTACAGGAACATATGTTCCAGCATCATCACGATAGGCAAGCCCGACCACTACGTCGTGGTTGATGAATTGTGTTGAATAGTTTTGTAAAATTTATCATTATCTAAACACTAAACTGTTTAATTGTACTGTTGTAAAAACAAAAAAACACAACAAGAAACTTACTTCTTATTATTGTAATATTTAAATCACTCGATTTAAAACTGTAATTTGTTCTTTGTTTATTCTTCGCCATAATATAGCTCTCTCAAGCACAAGCACTGATTGCCTCGCATCAAAGTCGAATTCATTCCTCGCAAGATTCCACGGTGGATAATACTGCAAAAACTGATGCAGCACCACCGACTTCCACTGAGATAAACAATAAACAAACATTACAAAATGATACAAATACAAATGATAGTAATAATAATAATAATTCAGAATCAACATCCAATCCCACTACTACCACTACCACCAATGAACACGAGAGTTTAACAGCGGATTTAGAAGCTAAAGTTGATGATGTCCTATCACGTATACGTGCAACAGAAGAACGAATGGCTGCAGCAGCGATTGCATCTGCACGACCTGACACACCGTATAAATCGATATCGAGTCACGTGACCAATTCTGCGATCAGATCCACCGGAGGTCGAATCATCAGAGCATCAGCTGTTGCTGCTGCCACTGCTCATATGCATGATGAAGAAGATGAAGAATCTGTTATGTCACGTGTTGAACAAGTGGCTGCCTATGAAGCAAGCACTATACAACACTATTCCAATTCGTCAACCAGTTTAGGATCTCCTCCACCACCTCCTCCGCCTCCACCCCCATTACCTCTCAGCTCTGTTGGTTCATCCGATCGAATCGAACCACAAACATCGCCAAATGTTGATCATTTAGACCTTGATTCACGTATCCAATTGTTCATGTCTGCAACAAGTTCCAAAAAACCAGTCAAACCATCTGACTCAAATCCTGTCATGGTGACAACAAATAAACCCGAAATAACTCCACCAATAAAATCTCATCCTAATCAATCGAATGTAACTAATGTGACCTCGTCATTCTCCTCCTCCACCACCACCGCCAGCACCACTACTTCTTCCTCTTTCGGTTCATCAACAACATCCAGTCTATTACCAGCGCTTTTAGCTAAACGTAAAGTTATCGCTGATAAATTAGCTGCTGTTCGTGCAGCTGGTGGTTCACCTATAAAATCATGTCATCCAGTCACTTCACCATTGCCATCACCAACAACAACATCAAGCAATAATAATGAAGTGTATATTGTGGAGAAACTATCATCCACCACTCCGATTCACACCTCTTCACACAACTCAACCAAATTGTTGAATTCTACAAAAATGCCGTCGAAAGATGAAGAATTGTATGATTTATTAGGTGTGTAAATTTTTTCACTATTATTATTATTATTATTAATATTACTATTACTAATATTTCTCATGCACCAATAAACAATATCATGCGTTTGGTCTCTTCCTATGGTGATTTGCTCTCTCTCACTCTCTATCTCACTCCCTCTCTATAGAATGACCTCCATTGATGAGGTTTGTTTTCTTTTTTAGCCAACATTATTGACTTATTCAATTAGTTTTTTTTTTAATCTAAATTATTTATATTTATATAAATATTTGTCTATGTATAAAAATAAACAAACAAACAAACAGTGTATCTTATCCTGATCATCATTATCCTGTTAAGCATTATTTCATATCTGTATACTGACAACAATGAGAACATGCGAATAAACCGTGTATATTTTTATCTATCTGTCTATCTATTTATATTGTATGCGAGTGTGTTTACGCCGTAGTACATAGTTATCAATCGACTCTCAATGTAATATACAGTTTTACGATTAGTGATACATATGTATGTGTGTATTGTGTTGTTCCTGTATCAACTCAATGATTATATATAATCACTATGAATTGAACACCTCCTTTAACCCCTCCTCATAAGCCGCCTATATATGCCCGCACACACACACACATGCACCTCATACCAACGTATCATTTAGTTGGGATAATCAAATAAAGTTTCCATTCTTGTTAGCCAATTGTCCACATCCTTTTGTCTTTTTTCTTTGAATGTACACTAGTAGTGCCTTGTTGTTGTTGTTATTGTTGTCACTGCTGTTACATTTTACACTATCCTTCACCGGGCGTTAACATCTTGTGCGTTCATTGTACTATTCTTTTTAGTTTCTACTACTTGTTATCACATACGTCTGTATATATCGATTGAAAATCCGTTAACATCATAGGTTAAACATGATGAGTTTTATGTTTCTTCAAATTTTCTCTCCTTGTTGTTACTTTCTTCAATATATACTTACTACTACACTTCATTTATCTATCATTCTCATTACACATTGTCATCATCACAGCGGTGATGTCGTCTGATTGATTAAAAGCGAACTATAGCTGTTTACTTCATCGAATCAGAAAAAATGTAAAATTCAAAATCGAACATACTCGTTTCAGCATGTTTTTGTTCCTTTTCTGCTTTTCAATGAATTCCAGTGTACATGCCGGGACAAAAAACAACACACACACACACATCCAATGGCTCAATGTACTCCTTGTTTTTTTATATAGAAAATGAATTGTACAATCTTTTTTGTTTGAATTGTACGCTCACAATGTCTGTGTGTGTGTGCATGTGCGCGCGCGCGCCTGTACGTGGTGCATATCCTTCTCTCTCTCTGTCTATATATATATATATATATATATATATATATATACAGGTTTACATATAAATCCTCAAATACATAATGATCACATATTTTTTATTTCAACTAAAGTACACATGCAAAAACACTTTTGTTTTTATAAATACACCAGGTTAACAAAAACACTTCATCAAAACAAACAGGAGAAGTTTGCAGTTAATCGACGATCCAGAACTATACTAATATAATATCTATCGATTTTTTACATTCAAGTTGTTTCGAATAAAAATTTCGTCTCGTATTCACTAATTCAAACATCGAAATGAGTATATTTATTACTTGACTAGGAAAAGGGGGAATGATTTTTTTCTTGTGTGTTGGTTATGATTCATTGTTGTTTTTATTATTACTTTTATTATTGTTATAATGATTAAAATGTATAGGTTCAAACCTCATTCCATCTCAAATTCAATTTTAAACAACAGTTTTATTACGCCTTCTGTACATTTTTAAGCCAAAAGATGACACTAATCTTTCTAGTGTTCTATTAATAATACCTTGGTAAGTAAACGTTGAATAACAAACTCTCTGACCTACTTGTTAAGATTATCGATGATGTCACACGATTTCATGTATTGATTCATGTGTCAATGGAATGGATCCAGTTAAAAATAGTTTTGTCTCATGTGTAAAATGAAATACGTTTTGATGGTTGCAAGATGATTCTTGTGTGTGTGTGTGTTTTTAATCATACCTATTACAGTTGTGTATAAAAAGTATTGAATCATATACCTGAAATCGATTTCTGCCGAAACTATTTCAAATTATGATTTTACACACTACTTTCACATGTAGGAATCACTGCACACTTTTCTCCTTTGCCAGTATAAACACTACCTGCATCTTTTGTGTATACCTCATTTCAGTACTGTATGTTTGCAGTATTCCTACACACACTCTCTTCCTCTCTCTGTCTTATAATCCACTCAATACGATTTTTATGAATTGTTGCTTTTTATTCCTAAAAAGAAAAAAAATAGATGAGTCGTATTCGTATTATCGCATTGATTTATCTCCGGTGTATTTTAAGAGTTCAATTCATAATCATTGCTCCACTACACTACAGTATACTTTTTTTAAACTCTTATTTCCCACATTCAATTAAGTGGACGCTTATGGTTCCCACAATATATATATATATATATATATATATATATATATATATATACATACAAATCTGTCATGCGATACTATTTCACTAAACATTGCTACTATGTCGGTTTCTCTGCATTAAATCGGTTTTGAGTAGGTTTACAATGAGAGTGTTTTATCTAAAAATTGAATTGTTATCATTCTAATGTTTTTTTTCCTAATATGAAATGTTTGGACATTATTGAATGATGTCGAGGGCATAGACCACAGTGTAAGTTAAATAACTGTTAGAAATCTCGCAACCATAAACAGCTGTTTCATCCTAGTATAGGGATCATTACCGGCTGCAGTACATATTCGCATCCCTACCATAGAAGATCTAATTCAAGACTGTCGATCTCGTTCTCGAACACTGAAACTCTAAATCGCCGATAATGTTCATTGGTGTATTTGCCGAACTTCAATTAATCTATGATATTTCGCATCCATCTTGTCTTCATTAGGTATCTTCTTTATGCCCGATACAATAGATCAGATAAAACCTTGAATTCTTGGTTTTCTGAAACATCTGAATAAATTCAGCAAACTGTAATCATCAGGTTCTATAGCGCCTAAACAATACAATCAATGTGAAATACATAAAACAAGCTTTTCGCTTCGTCTTATGTTTTACATGACGAATAATTTATCATTTCATTTTATTGAAAAGTGTATAACTCACACATACTTGATCTAGTTCAAAAAGACCTTTGTCGTTACATAATACATTTAAAGTTATGGTTATAATTTTGTATTTTTTGATTAAATATGCACCATGAAATCAAATTAAACTTATCACTTTACAGCTATGACATTAAATCGAAATCGTTCCTTGTGGCGGTGTTTCATTCTCTGAGCTGGATGTTTTGGTTGTGTAGCTCTCATTGTTCTCCTTCTGAAGTTTGTGTGCTGATGATGTTGTTCAGGAGAACAGTGAAAGCTTCACAACCAAAACATCCAGCTCAGAGAACTAAACACCACCCGAGCTACAAATTTTCTCCACCATCGCAAAATTGTTCCTTATGTATTTCAGTAATGATTTGATGGTGTACATTTCTTTCTTTATTATAATGATAAAATTCACCTGAAGTAAATGCATACAGCTTGTTATCACTATTATCTCATTGGTAAAGAGATTCTAATATGCAAATATATGAAGTTCTTCTGTTACTCCTAATAAGGCACGATCCGCTGACCAGTACATTATTTTTTCTGGTAAGATTTTTTTAGCTAGTTGATTTTCTACTACGTGATGTGGTCGCTAACATCATGCCCAGCCCCTCTCCTTTATCCAAGCTTAAGACCGTCAGTAACCTTCGAAGGGCTCCGAGTGGAGTTATATGGAGTTTATCAAACTGAAAATAATAAATATTTTGCCAGATTGTCATTACTACTTATGATTCATATTATTAGTTATTTATAATTTTATTTGTTTATAAAAAACATTTACTTTAAACTTACTTCTCCATACATTGAATGTGGCTTTATGTATTTACTGGAGAATTAGTTGACCATAAAGATTTAGGCGTTTTTTTACCCTTAATTTTCGGTATTGCATTTCATGTTGTAGCGTGTTTCTTTGTCTCTCTTAATCTGTTTGAAGTTAGATGTGTAGACTGTTGGATGCTAACCCACGTCGAACATCTTCTCTCTTTCTCTGTCACTTGGAGCTCTTGATTTCGAATCCCTTGTGGAGGTCATGGATGCACACTGTCTTTGAGAAGTTCGATATTAGGACGAAACTTTTGTTCAGTGCTTTCTGATATCCATTAGTTGTCTAATTGAAGTCAGTTGTTGATTTGGCTGGTGATACGGTTGGTCCAGTTAAATCTTTCATCTTTGAATAGTTACAAATTACACAATCATTATGAATGTAGTCAAAATGATTATTTATTTTTCTGATATGCAAGGTTTTTGCTCATTGTGAACTATCATAATTCTAATATTCTACTGTAGTAGTTAAATGTGATGATATATTTTTCCGCCTGCCTTCTCAGCAAAACAGTATTGTTGAGTGTGTGGAAATATAGAAGTATATGGAGCTTTAAAGACAGACAGACACAACGCAGAACTTCGTACGCAAGTACATCAGTTCAGGTTGCCATACCACATCAACACATAGACGCAACTGTCACTTCAAATCCAAGAGTGGTAGCGATAGTAGAAATATTAGCAGTAATGGAGAGAAGATTAGGGAGCATAGATATGATTCAGTGAGATAAATTTAGAAGGAGAAAGATAGAGATTATGAGGAATGCAGAAGCTTAGAATTTCATAGAACGCAAAGAATGGATGCACCTGCGTCATTGCAAATGATTCTGAGCAATGTCGTTCAAGGTCTCTAACTGTCGATCACTATCATCTCGTGGACCCCAACCAGGTAGTCGACAACCACCGACATGACTCAGTCCACTTGTCAGTGACTTCATGGATTTCTGCCATGTTTTGGTCTGGCCGCCCCTAGCTTTCTTCCAACCTACTCCTACACCACAAAACATAGCTCGTCGAGGCAGTCGTTGGTTAGCCATACGTAACACATGTCCCAAACACCTCAACTCATGAAGTTTCAATGCTTCATTTATTGGTTTGCCATCCTTACCTAGAACTTGTTTCCTAACGACAGCATTGCTTACTTGGTCGTCCCATGATACACGAGCAATGCTTCGGAGACAACGATGGTCGAAGACTAGTAACCTACGAATGTCCTCTACTCTTAACGGCCATGTTTCACAGCCATATAGTAGGACGGAGCGAACTACTGCACAGTACACTCGTCTTTTAGTTAGCAAACGGATATCTCGCCTTCGCCATAAGTGTCGCAGGTTGGCAAAAGCCCATCAAGCCTTCTGTATCTGAGCTGATATTTCGTCAGTCACCAGGCCATCAGCACTGATGAGAATCCCCAGATACGTGAAGCGGTCTACACGTTCGAGTTTTAAAGGAGATGAATCAATAAATTTTTACACCTATAAAATCAGTCTTAAGTTACATCTGTTTACATCTCTGATCCGTGAAATAATGTTATATCCAAGTTTAAACCGAGATTGAACAGTTTTTCATTCACATAAGCTACCTAGCAATAATTGTGTTTAAATAAAATAAATATGACCACCAAATACTGTAGTCCGATCAGAAGTGTATAGCAGTTACTATCCTGCTGTGCGACTGCTTACAAAGTTGTAAGGGTGAATATCCGGCGCTCAAACCAGGTTGATGAGTACGGACAATCCAATCAAAGAAGTTGGTCATCCTTGATTCCAAACCTATTTCGCACAGTGATTCCGGGATGTAGATGGAACAAGTGACAGATAAACATATTGTTGGTCGCCGGCTACCATGAAACTCTTAACGTTGCTACACTACTGTCTTATTGATTAGACCTTTAAGTCAAAGGCTCGCGAAGCAGCCGTCTGAAAAGAATCACGTGTATCGGTTTGTGTGTCTGGATAGTATTCGCACTCACTCAAAAATCGAGTAATTTGTATCGCGTATGTATTTTTCGATACCACATTGTACATGTAATAATGTGTTTAGTTAAATACAAACCAAGCCAATGCTTTTCAAAAAAATCGTCATCATTGTAGATTTCATTATTCGATATATAACCTACCTTCTGATGCAGTGACTTAATTGTATCCTGCTCATCATAACACTTGCGGCACTTGTCTATTGTTGGGTTGTAGATTCTGAAGTATAATAAAAAGTAGAGTAGCCAATTTGTCAGTGGTAATCCAGTGGATGCTAATCGTTTGTGACAGCTACGTTCAATCCAGTTTGAATCAGATGAATTTCCAGTTAGAACCTATGAATAGTATCAGATCAGGAATGTACCAGTTACGTGATAATAGTAATCATTAGATTATCTGTTGAACTGCCGCAAATTCTCGGGAACGTATTCTTTTAAACTTAATGCCTTGCACTGTATCGTACTTGTTGTGAGAGACCCAAAAATACTGGGTTCGATTAAGTGTTAGGTCGTAGTGAATTCATGCTTTTGAAAGATCACTGTAGAATGATGGAATAGATATCCAATCACTGTTTGCTTTAGTTACTCACATTTCATAAAGAAGAAAATATCATAAGAGACAACAAATTTTTAATATAGTCACATACATACTGGTAATCTATTTAGACACAAAGTTTAAATATCCCCCTTCAGTAATCTCATATGTAGAATTACTCGTATCATA